GGGAAGGAAGGAGGGAAGGAAGGAGGGAAGGAAGGAGGGAAGGAGAGAAGGAGGGAAGGGGAAGGAGGGAGGGAAGTAGAAGTAGGACCGTTGTAAGATAAGATGGATCTATGGGATGTTAAAAAAGCAATCTTCAAGTATATTGTTAACAGTAGGGAAAAATTGTTATAAATACATATTATTAATAACAGTTATGAGATCATATAATTGTGAATGTATATATGAAATTGATTAAAAAAAAAGAAAACTGTAATTGCCTTAGGTCCAGCTGCTTATTCCAAATGCTAATTCTGTTTTTCTTCTTGTTCCTAGTTGTGGCAATTTATGATTACACTAAAGACAAGGAAGATGAACTTTCCTTTCAGGAAGGTGCCATCATCTACGTCATTAAGAAAAATGATGATGGGTGGTATGAAGGTGTGATGAATGGAGTAACTGGACTCTTCCCCGGAAACTACGTGGAGTCCATCATGCACTACTCAGAGTGAAGACCACTACGGCGAGAGACAGAACCAAGAGATTGTTGAGCTGCCCCAGGTCCCATTGGCAGCTTGTGGGGGGAACCTGGGCGCCTGAAGGAAAGGATCATTGTAACAAAACCACCCCCCTTTCTTCCTTTTTATAAAATGGTGATTTGAATTGTTTTGAAGAATGGCTCTTCCATTTGCCAGCAGCGACCAAGCTGAATGACCAATATTAATGAGCTGACTGATCAACATGTAGATACGGAGATGTAATCAACTTGCCAGTAAAGGGATCCATTACTCAAATTGAGACCCATTCAATCAAAATATGGGATTATTTTTCTTTCTTTCTCAGGAATACCCATGCCTGGTATTGGGGCATCTTGGATGTTAGCGCTAAAGGCTTTGTTAGGCTATCTGCCACCTCTTTCCCCCCTCCTTATTCAGCACCTATTACTGTTGGATATGTGTTACTCTACTGGCAAACATTGTGAGATTACACACCAACTGGGTCTCAGCTTGGTTCCTTGCATCTCAGCAATTCTGCAATTGTTTCACACATATAGCTTGATCTAGGCTTGTAAGGAGCTCTCTCATTTCTTCTTACAGGAGGAACATCATGTCAGATATAATCTCCCAATATATATCTTGAGACTTCCAAGTCATAAACTGGGCCTCTTTTGTATCATTCAATTATTTTTAAGAAGTTGGATTAAAGAGCTTGAAGGACGATAAAAGCTTGATGTTTTAAAAATGGCCTCTGTCCTTCATATAATTATATAGCAGCCTTATTCAGCCCTCAGTATGCAAAATATTTGTAAAATGGTTTAAAACTGCCCTCCTGATAGTGTTCAAAAACTGCTTTCAGTCAGGCTTTAGCCGTGAATGTTGTTACAAAGGCTGACAGCAGTCTTCTAAAATTACCTCATGTTTCACAATTTGGGAATTAGCAAGGGGACATAAGTATTTTATAGAGGAAGGCTTTTGTCTGAATTGATTAGCCTGCTTCAGTTTGACTATATAGCCCAGTGTTTCTCAACCTTGGCAACTTGAAGATGTCTGGACTTCAACTCCCAGAATTCCCCAGCCAGTGAATGCATTCGCTGGCTGGGGAATTCTGGGAGTTGAAGTCCAGACATCTTCAAGTTACCAAGGTTGAGAAACACTGATATAGCCTGTCCAACTCAGAATAAGTGGGTACTAAAGAGATTGGCCGTTTGTGCTATTTCAAATTTTCGATACGTACTATGAAGGACCTGTGAAAGCAGACAAATATTGCCCAAAGATTTCTAAGGGCTGTTTTCTTTGAACGCTAATTTAGAAACTGGCAAAAGTGTTAACTTCTTTTTCTCCCACCAGTAAATATGTGGGTGATTTTCCAACACGGGATTGAAAATTATCTATAATGTCCATAGACACTTTAGCAGCAAGCTGGAGGATATACAGAATGTGTTTATTTTTTTTTGTTATCCAGCAATCATGGAGCTATCAGATTCAGGCATGAAGTGAGGGGGAAGGTGTGAACTCTTTTCTATATTGTAGACCATAGTCTTTATGAAACTTGCTTTTGCTTAGCTGCTGGTTTTATGCTGATAGCAGCTGAATTGGGGAGAAAGACCTGAATGGTTTTGTATTAGCTCTGTGGTGTATTGTGAGAAGTTAAGTTTATCTATATGCCACAATCCCAGTCCAATTCTTCACTGCTGATTAACATAATAAAAAGTTTTCCCAAATACGCAGAATAAGACATTTCTTTTTAAGGCAATGTAAACATTTCATGCTCTTAGTTGATTTGCTGGGTACATTGCTCAAAATAATGTCCAGGAATCATGTGCTTGAACACCGATTGTAGTGGTCAGCCTTCCTTCCTCACGTAAGCTAGCCATAAATTTACTAACCACTTTCTGAGTTATGCAGATTATGTTGGTATAACTTCTGTGGCTTCCTCTGTTGCTTGTTTGTGCCATTAATAAACCTCAGGTGCTACCAAAAGTCATTAACTTAACATCGATAATTGTAGCTCCCATTAGTAGGACTGCTAATCAGATCCCTTCAAAGATTATTGTTTCAAAGCATGAGACCTACTGTGCTAATTTTTGTCACTGGCATCCCCTCCAAAACCCCAAGATGATCATCAAAGCTGCCTCCCCTTTTTAATGGTGTCGATATTGCAGAAGTACAGAGGAGTGGGAGTTCAGTTGCATTCTGTGACCACCAGTTTGCCTTTACTGCCCCCCCCCCAAAAAAAAAATAGATGCCAGTGTTTATAGTGTGAAGATCACTGAGGACTGGCTTGTTTGAAGACACCCAGATTTGATTTATCCAAGAGGGATGGGTATCTCTGAAAGCTGGATGTATCTGTAGAGTTGGAATACTGGAGACAGCTTCTTGCATCAACACTGGACCTCCAATTGAGAATGAGTTATGAGACCTTGGTCTGTTAGGACAAAGGATAGATTTCTACAAAGGACCAAGCATGATGGGTAGGCATATAGGTTTTACTGTCTAATACCTTATGTGTGGTATTATGGTGTACTGTCTTGAGACGCAACCTACCATATGAAGATGGGAATGCAGCCTCCATCAATATGCTTGTTAGAAGTGGCTGTCACTGCTCCATGGGGACCCAGCTAAGAGAAGACTCTGCTCTGAGAAGTTGAAAATGCAACTTGCAATGCTTGTTTGGAGCTTTGGAGTAGGATTCTGCTTCAAAGATCATCAGTGGCACCCTGAGTTTGGCAGAGCCTGCCAAGAGGATGAACCAAAGAGATCAGGGGTTACAGCAAATTATTCCGGACAAATTTTGTGGACTTGGCGTGGGCTCAGTTATGAAAAACCCATTTGCCTGTTTAAACATATTGAGTGTTGTGCCTGCAGGCTATGAGCTGTGTTGCAAACAATTTCTTTAGAATGGAAAACCTGAACCACTGCTGATTAGGAAAGAAGCATAAAAACTTATTCAAATTTCCTCCCAATTTTTCATATTCTTTTTTTTTTTTGCCATTATTGATGCAGTCACTGCATCAGTCTGGTACCGTGCTTTTTATGATTTCATCAACTTCTGAAGAGTGTGTCGTTCCTCTCCCCCCCCCCCCCCAAAAAAAAAACCCCTCCATCTTATTTTCCTTTTTCAGAAACGGGTTGCCTTAACAATCCTTCACACGTGGTGTCTTCTCTGCTGTTCTGGGAAATGTGACTCTTGTTTTTGATTGTAGAAAAGATTGCTGTCAAATGCCTGGTGCTCTGATGTTGAAAAGTCAGTAATGTGAATTCTTAACTCTTGTCCCTTTGCGAGACCTAAGGCCATCAAATTTTATTCCTAGTAGAAACAGAAGCCGGATGCTGATTCTGCGGTAGAACATAACACGAATCCTGGCTACGAAAGGGAGGGTTGGAGACGGTTTTATTTTTTATTGATATAGCCTTTTTTGTTTTTCCTGTTTAAAAGTGCTTTCAGTATCACATGGTTTTTATAAGATGCTACTCATTTGCTCGTTTGGGGAGAAACTGTACAGCTTCTATTGAAGGGACAGGGGCCACGGTTCCCTTATAAGAATTTGGGTCTCTCTTGATTGTATGACTGCTTCCTGTATCCTTCACGGGCCAAGATCATCTTCCTGCAAATTGCTGGGGAGGGTGTTTACAGATTCCTTGCCTCCTGCTGGTTTAACGCTTTTATTCTGCAATACTAATGTTGTGAAAATAACCCTTGGGTTTTATGCTTATTTTTTATTTTGTACAGTTTTGAATTCTGTAGAATGCCTATGGATGATGTACAAGGCCCGAAGTAACCAGACTCTTGTGTGTATGTAACTGCATGTTATATCAAGACAGTGAGAGTGGTTTTTCAAATATCATTTACTATTTTCCCCAACTTCTCTTCCCCCCCCCGCCCCACTAGTGTTTAATTAAGAAAAAGGGGTGAAGAGGAAGGGCCTGGATTTCTCTCTTGTACCCATCCTCTTTCTCTAGCCCTGCTGTAAAGCTATTAAATATGTTGAACATTCCACATTCTGTTTCAGTATCTTGTGGGGAAAAACATGTGGGGAGACCAAAAAGAGCTCAGTTGTCAAAAAATTTTTTAGCTTTTCCTTCACCATAAAATGGCTTTGATTCCCTCAACCATGCTATTATGGCACATGCATTCATCTTCATGAGCATTCTTCTGCTTCTTTTAGAAGAGCAACATTGCTATGGTACGAAATTAGCAGCCCTTTGGCTTCATGTAGCTTCTCAACATTCAGTTTGAGCCCCTACCACTCCGAGACATGCTTCTCCAAATTCATAAGCCAAGTAATTTAAGATGAGCTTTGCCCATTCGGTGGGAACGAATGGAAATGTGAAGCATGACAACCCTAATTCTTACCTTTCCATCGTCAACACATACATGATTTGGGGAGATACCGTAATGTAGGGCCTTGGATGTATTGAGTGCAAGAATAGGAGTCTTCTCCTGTTCTTATTTCCACAGGTCAAAACTCCTGACCCTGTTCCTTTCCGGGAGAAAAATATTGTTCCTACAGCCCTCCAGAAGATTGGGAAGTTGAGTTTTGGCCCAGAGCCTTCAAATATTGCTGTCCTAGAGGATTAAATCTTCCCCTATGGAAAAGTGTTTTTTGTTTATCATACAAACAAACAACATGTTGGTGGCTTCAGGCCAAAGGATTATCCTTTTCAGGGGCTTCCTTTCCTTCAGGAGAAATGGAAAATTTATTCTCCTCATTTGAGAGCTGGCATCATAGTATAGAAGGAAGAGGCAAAGAATATGATCCAGAGTCTATTAATCATTTGGCTGCTCTTTTGCTTGAATCTTACATGGTTTATAAGACACGCATTGAGATGTTGCTTATGGGTTTGTTATTTTACCTTGGTTAAATTGGCAACATTGGGAAGGGAGGAGAATTTAATGAGAAAAGTGAATGTTCGGGGTGATCGCTGACAACTAAGCTTTTATAGGGAGGTCAGGAAGGTTGAACTTTTGCAGACTGTGTTGTGGTTTTAGCTTTATTATTTTTTTAATTTGTTCCTGATGTCTATGTGAAGTGAAAAATGAGGTGTTAAACTTTTTCACATAAGATCGAGGACTTAAAAAGTGTTTCTGGTGAAGAGGACTTTAGGCCTGTTTTGCTAGAGAGAAATTAAAAGCTATAGCTAGCTTAGATGGTTTTGCACCTCTCCAGAAGTTAAAATGTAAAAGAAATGAAGTGTGTTAAATTAATTAATTAATGACAGCATGTCTTCCAGTTTTGGGTTGTTGTTTATAGCAGTATTTGAAAATGTCATCAGTGAAGGGAAGGTTGAACTCGATAGGATTAAATTAGCTATGCGATGACAGATTTTGAGTATCAATGCATATTCTGTGAGAAAAAAAAAAAGAAAAATATAGAAATTCTCTTGGAGATTCTCTTCTTAAAGTTTATACACCTATCTTAACCGTGGCACGACAAAACCGCGGTCCACTAAAGCGCGCCCGATTAAAGCACGTACCTGACGTCAGCAGCGCGACAAATACGACCGCGGAGATTTTAAAAAGCGATTTTAAAGCAAGCCAATTCACGTAAAGGTAAGGGTTAGGTTTAGGTTTAGGGTTAGGTTAAGGGTTAGCGTTAGGTTTAGGGTTAGGGTTAGGTTAAGGGTTAGCGTTAGGTTTAGGGTTAGGGTTAGGTTTGGGGGGGGTTGGGGTAAGGTTTTCGCG